GATTTGGTCTTTACAAGTTATATGAATGTGATAAACTATTGCATGTACACAGAAAATATGTAGATATATTTTGTGTCAATAAAAATAATAAGGCTCAGCACAGTGGCTCACATCTGTAATTCCAGCACTTTAGGAGGCTAAGGTGAGAGGATTGCTTGAGGCCAGGGGTTCAAGATCAGCTTAGGCAACATAGTGAGACTGCATTGCTACAAAAAAATAAACAGCCAGGCATGGGGGTACACACCTACTGTACTCCTAGCTACTTGGGGGGCTGATGCAGGAAGATCACTTGAGTCCAGGAGGTTGAGGCTTCAGTAAGCTATGATGGCTCCACTGCACTCCAGCCTGGGTGACAGAGCAAGACTTTGTCTCAATATAATAATAATAATTAATTAAAATTAAAAATAGCCCGGGCACAATGGTTCACGCCTGTAATCCCTGCACTTTGGGAGGCCGAGGCGGGCGGATCACGAGGTCAGGAGATCGAGACCATCCTGGCTAACACGGTGAAACCCCGTCTCTACTAAAATACAAAAAAAAAAAAAATTAGCCGGGCGCGGTGGCGGGCGCCTGTAGTCCCAGCTACTCAGGAGGCTGAGGCAGGAGAATGGCGTAAACCCCGGGAGGAGGAGCTTGCAGTGAGCCGAGATCCGGCCACTGCACTCCAGCCTGGGTGATAGAGTAAGACTCTGTCTCAAAAAAAAAAAGAAAGAAAGAAAGAAAGAAAACTATTCTCAATACAGTCAAACACATCAGGAAACTATCAGCTCATTTTTTTTCATGACTACATGCTTCAGTGCAGTCCTCTGTCTCTTGTATTTTCATGTTTAGCTTCTTTGTTTCTAAGATTACTTCTTCCGGTATTCTCTAACAGCCTCTTGATACAATTTTCCACATATTCAAATGTATCTGATGATCCATCTGTTATTTTGTTTTCCTTCCCCATGGAGCCCTCTACCTCTCCTGCTGCAGACTGGATTGTTTCTTCTTGAGGCCTACACAGCTGTTCCGGAACTTCCCTTCCCCAACATTACTCTGAATGTCCTCTCCTGTGTTGAATCCCGTATTTCCTGGATCCCAATCTTCCTCTTTCCTGGTTTAATCATTTTTGAGGCTCACATTCTCCAATATTTTTCTGAGAATGAATGCACAGGAGATAAGCATTTTGCGTATCTGAATTTGTCTACTTTCAGACTGGATGGATGGTTTATCTGTGTAAGAAAAATCTAAGTTGAAACTACTCTCCTCGGTACATCGAAGGTATTGTTCCATGGTCTTTTAATTCCTCAAGTTGTTATTGAAAAGTCGTATGTTATTCGGCCTCTCACTCCTTTCTATGTATCCTATTTTTCTTTTTTGTGCTTCTCTGGGACTTTAGGACTTTCCTTTTTTTCCTGTGGTTTTTGTTTGTTGTGGTCTCTGGTGATCCATGACTATTCACTCATATGCAAAAGTGAGAAACCAAAAGGCTGACTGACAGTTCAGTGCATGTGGGCAGGGCTTGTTGATTGTCAGGTCTTGCCTTGCTACAGGATGATTAGGTGGGGACCCAGCAATTTTGTTGATGAGTCCTTTCTGTCAGTATTTTCTTTTAGCCTTGTCAGTTTCTCCAGCTAGAAGTGACTCTGTTTCTTGTCTTAGGTATTCCTGATGATGGTGCACAGTAAGGAGGGGAGCCTGCTCGGCTTGTGAACTTTTACTTAATACCACTCTTTAAATACAGTGCTTCTGCTCTGCCCTCTGCCATACTGAGTCCCCAATTCCCTGGCCTCTTCAGTCAGCCTCTGCAGAGAAGACATTCGCCCCAGTGCCCTGGCAGAGCGGACAATCACCTGGCTGTGTAGAGTGAGGAAGGAGATGTAGAAGCCTAAGCATCTCATGCAATTCTGTTGCTTATAGTCACACCCTGAACCGTTTCCCAGCTCTACCACTTATGGCCTTGAAGTATTACATAGGGAACTCAATTTCTTCCTCTGAACTTGGAAGATCTTTGAGGCACGTAGGATGTCCAGGGCCCTCCTGGCCCTGGGATTCTAAGCTCTATGAACCTTCAGAAGGTGGAGAGCTCTGCCTAGGCAGTAACATAGACAGGAAGATACAGGAGGTGAAGAAGGGTGAGGTGACAGTGGGGTAGAGTGGCAGGAAACTTGAAAGAAAAGGTGGGACGAGAGCAGGACAAGAGCCAGTTGGAGGAATAGGGGAGGGAGCACCTCCTCAGGTGTCCAGTACGAAGATGACACTGGGGCAGGATCACCACAGCATGTTGGGCGCTGGTAGGTAGGCAAAGGGTTCTAGAATAATGAAGTGGAAGTGTAAACTTCAACCAGAGTGTGGAGAGTTTGAATTTCTTTTTTATATCAGTGGATTCCATGATCAAAGTCATCTAGAGATTTGTTTTCAATGCCAGAGACCCTACCCCAGACTTTAAATCAGAATATCAGAGAAGAGCCCAGGAACCTATATGCCTTTAAACTTTCTATGTGAGTCCAGTAAACTGGCAAGTTTGGAACCACTTCCTCAGGCAATGGAGAACCATGGATGGTTTGTAATCAGGATGCATGATAGAAGTGGAAATTCTAGAAAGATGAATTTGACAGGCATATGCAAGGTGGACTGGAGGTTGAAGGATATGAGACAGGGATTCAAGGGAGGAAATTTCAATACTTCACAAAGATGGTCATGAGAGTCTATAGCAGGCAAGTGGTCAGGGAAAAGAAAGAAGACACTATGCCAATCCATCTGTCATGGATTGAATTATGTATCCCCCAAATTCATAGGTTGAATTCCTAACCCTTAGTACCTCAGAATATAACCTTATTGGGAAATAGAGTCATTGCAGATGTAATTAGGGTTAGGTTAGGATGAGGTCATAGGATAGACTCTAATCTAATAGAAGGGGGAGCTTTGGACACACCAGCATGGACAGGCATAGAGGGGAGATGATGAAAAGGAAAGTAGGGAGAAATGGCTATCTATCTACAAGCCAAGCAGAGATGCCTGGAACAGATCCTTCCCTCAAAGCTAACAGGAGGAGCTGGTCCTGTTGACACCTTGATCTCTGTCTTCTGGCCTCCAAAACTGTAAGTCAATAAACTTCTAATCACTCAGTTTGTGGTACTTTGTTATGGCAGCCATAGGAAACTAATACACTATCTTTTTGGAAACACATTCCTGCCTTCAATTACCTCTTCCTCACTTTCTCTTGAGGAATGATTTCTCAAAGCCACCCTCCTGAGAGGGCTAGAAGCAGTGGTTACAGAGTGAAGCATGTGTTTCTAACATTATAGGATGTCTTTGTACTGGAGGAGTGAGTGTAGGGTAGCTTTTTGGAGTCCTTGGCCAGTTTGCTCCCAGAACCCACCTGAGATATCAAAGAACTGACTTGTGATTGGACTTTGCTGAATAGAAAAGATGTTAGCTCTAGGAGAAGTAATTCACATTCTCCCCACCTGAGAAAGGAATTGGTGCCAAGAATGTCAGACAGTGGGTAAACCCCCAGAGGAAAAGGGAGACTCATTTCTTTGGAGCCATTACCGTCCCACTGGTGGCTCATCCAGATAAGTTAGAGCTGCAAGACAAGGAACAATCTACAAAAAACGTAAACCCTCATTCTATCATTTTGTGGCTTGGCCTATGCTGAAATAACTATCTTCCTTGGCTAAACAAAGAATTTCCAAGAACTCAATATATGAAGGTCAATGTCATGGTGGCTGATATAACCACATGGGACCAAGCACAAGCACATTCCCGGCCTCCCTCACTGTCCTGCTCAATCTGGACCCACACCAGCTACTCTGCACTGCCCTTGCTAACATCCTGGGGACACTTGGCCCTTTTACCTGCCAGTGTCCCCAGTGGCAACTCTCACTCTAGATCACCCACCACCTGCTCACTCCAGGATTGCCAAGTTTTGCTAGAAAAAGTGTCACTACTGTACCACAGGACCCCCTAAGTATCCCACTCCACAACCCTATCCGGGCCCTTCCTGCTTCCATGGTTATCCATCTGGAGTTAGCTTCCTGTTGCTTTCCTCCCAGCCCTTGCAAAGAATTCTCTAGGCTCCATGAGTCTTCAGCTCCATCCCAATGCCTCTTACCATCAGCCAATTTTCTGGTGAAGGATGTCACTTCAATTTTCTGGTGAAGTGAAAAGTCTTCAGGGATCTACTACCACAACTCTGTTTCTCTCCACTTTGGAGTTTCTCTGTGTTAACATCATTCCTTTTCTGTATTCCTCCTATTTCAGAGGAAGAGGTGGTGTTTTAATTTCCTTGTCCAGACAAACCCATCTCTATTCTGGGTCCCATTTCTTATTATACCAATAATCTCATTTTAAAAAAATTTTCTTACAGAGCATTTTAAATGCATACACATAATTTTATTAACTTTTCGTACCTTCAAAATTCTCTGGTTTATTTTTCTTGCAAGCTCAAGTCTCTTCCAGCCTTAAAAACAAAACAAAAAATAAATTAAAAATAATCTTAATCATACCACTTCTTTGAGCTACTTCCTGATCTCTTTCCATTTTTTAAATGGCCACTGTTTCCAACAGGTTACCTTTTCTTTCTCCTCTTTGGTTCTTAACTTTCTACAATCTAGTTTCAATCTCTATCACTCCACTAAAATTCTTCTTTTTTCTAACTTTGTTATTTTGAAATTTCAGTTTTTAAAAAAAGGTTGCAAGAAACTGTGAAGAGATTTCCCATATATCCTTTGTTCAGCTTCCCCAAATTTTAACAAATTATATAACCACAGGACATTTATCAAAAGCACGAAATTAACATTCAGACAATACTATTAGCTAAACTATAGGCTTTATTAGAATTTCTTTTTTTTTTCTTTTTTTTTTTTTGAGACGGAGTCTCACTCGGTCCCCCTGGCTGGAGTGCAGTGGCACGATCTCGGCTCACTGCAAGCTCCGCCTCCCGGTATCATGCCATTCTCCTGCCTCAGCCTCCTGAGTAGCTGGGACTACAGGCGCCCGCCACCTCGCCCGGCTAATTTTTTGTATTTTTAGTAGAGACGGGGTTTCACCGTGTTAGCCAGGATGGTCTCGATCTCCTGACCTTGTGATCCGCCTGCCTCGGCCTCCCAAAGTGCTGGGATTACAGGCGTGAGCCACCGCGCCCGGCCTAGAATTTCACCAATTGTCCTACTGTTAATTTCTAAAGTCATTCTTTTAAAAAAAGCTTTCTACTAAAGTCATTTTAAACTTTGTTTTACTTCATAAATTCTGAATATAAAATTAAGGAATAATGAGTAGAAAACTTAGAAAATATGAAAAGATATAAAGAAGAAAATAAAAACCACCCACAATCTGGCCAGAGATAAAGCTACTAATCTACAGGGCATACCAGGGACAGAACATGTTAAATACCACCGTGGAAATATCAACAAAATTCAGATATGGATTTATTATATATTTATTTATTTATTTATTTATTGAGACGGAGTTTCGCTCTTGTTGCCCAGGCTGGAGTGCAATGGCACAATCTTGGCTCACCGCAACCTCCGCCTCCTGGGGTTCAAGCGATTCTCCTGCCTCAGCCTTCCCGAGTAGCTGAGATTACAGGCATGTGCCACCATGCCCGGCTAATTTTTGTATTTTTAGTAGAGACAGGGTTTCTCCATGTTGGTCAGCTGGTCTCCAACTCCTGACCTCAGGTGATCTGCCCGCCTCAGCCTTCCAAAGTGCTGGGATTATAGGCATGAGCCACCATGCCCGGCTCCAGACTGTGGATTTCTTCAGAAAAAAAAAAATTCAAGGAAAAATAAAAGAGATGACAGGGGAATCTGTAACTTAAAAAGATGTTCATAAGCTAGATTAACCAATTGCAAAAGGTGAACTTTGTGTGAATTCCAATTGAAATAAACTGTACAAAAATTATAAGACAATCAGGAATCTGAAAATCCTGAATATTTAGTAATACTAAGAAATTATTGTTATTTTTAAAGCATGATAATACTACTATGTTTACATAAGGAACATTTATTTTAGATATAGATATTGAAATATTGGTAGATGGAATGACTGCTTCAAAGTAATGGGGTGGAGGAAATAGGTGGGAGTAGAGGTGAAACAGATTGCCATGCACTAATAATTGTTAAAGTCAAAGGATGAGTGAATTAGGTTCATTAAAACATTTTCTCTACTTTTGTGTATGCTTTGAAATTATCCATTATGAATGCTTTTTTAAAAAATGAATCATCTATTCAACATTCAAAGTCATTAAAAATAAATTTAGACTTTTTTGCCTTAGTTTTTCAAATACATAGCACAAAGAATCACATCGTTTAAGTCTGGCAAACACCAGCACAAAAGACCTTTTATATCCACCTGAGTCCTCCAGGTCTCACTAACCCAGCCAATGTTTCCCTTGTCTGACTCACTCCCAAACTCTGCCCTACCCAGGCTGTTCTGCCTTCTTTGGCTTCTTTGCGACCCTTTTACTCTTACCCTTTGCTACCCTCTTCCTGATCTTCCCTGGATCCTTCATGCAAGTAGCTCCAGGCCCTTTCTAATTTGAAGCAATCCAGTCTTTCAAATTCCAGTTCCATGGCTCTGCTCATAACCTTCTAATTCCATGGCTCTTCTCATAACCTTGCCTCACTCAATAAAAGCACAAAAGCCTGGCAGAGAACAAAGGAAAACTCTCTAGTATATGTCAATACTCTGTGTTTAAAAGGTAGGCAGACAAAATAAACTTGGAATGATGTTTTATAGACATAATTGTATCCTCTCTCATGCTTTAATTTTTTTCTTTTTCTTTCTTTCCTCATTCTTTCTTTCTTTAACGTTATATTATAAACACTATGCCAAATCCCTGTTTCTTTGAAAACCTGGTTTTTAATGTCTGTGGAATATTCTGTCACATACATGAGCCATAATGTATTTATCTCATCCCCTAATGTTAGATCCAGTGACCCCTTAGTTGCCAAAGCAATTCAGCCCTCATCTCCTTGACTTTCTAAAGTACTTTGACACTAGTGACCACCCTCTGCCTTAAAATATTCTCTCATTGGCTTTCCTGATATCCTCTCAATCTCACTCCTCTCTGACTGGTCATTCTCTTGCCTTCTGTGACCTGTCTTCCTCCTGCTCCCTGAATAAAATCCCTCTCCAAGGTTCCATTAGATTATTTCTTTTCCTCTCTTTACTCTCATTCCCTAGGTGGGTTCTTTCTCCCTTGGCTTCACCGTGAAGGATTCCCAGATCTTATAACTTCATCTCTAACCCCTTCCCAGTGTTCCACACCTGCATCTCCCCTGTCCATTGTACATGTTCGCCAAAATATAGTCCAGTCCCACCAACATGACTCAGCAACCAAAAGGAGCTATCCAGAAGCAGCTCAGCCTGCCTCCTCCCACCTGACCACAATGCTGCATGTCCTCAGGATTCAGCTCAATGCCTTGGAGTCACTACCAACCCTTTGCTTCACCCTCCATTTCACCAAGTCACCAAGCCCTAAAGAATCTACTTCTGACATGTCTCCCATGACAGTTTCTTTCTTTGGATTCTCACTGCTCCATTCAGACTGTGAATGGGATCAACAATTTTCATCTCCTATTTGCATTCACCTCCTACTTGGTCTTTCCTCCTCCTCCTCTGTCTCTGTTCTTTCCAATCCATCCTACCCATCAATCTTCCTAAAGTCTGACTTTAGTTAGGTGACTTACCTGTTCAGTAATCTTCAGTGGCTCCCTATTACTTAACCAAATTGAATTCTGACATTTAAGGTACAATTTAATAGGACTTGCCAAACAATTTCCCTAATCTCACTTCTCTCCTCTTCCCATACATATCTTGGAGGGGGAATAGCATGGCTCCCGAGTCGAATCCCAGCCTAGTAGTGCTATAGCCTTGGGTAAATTATTTAAGTCATCTGAGCCTCTGCTTCCCCATTCATAAAATGGTAGTATTAGCAGCATCTACCTCATGTGTGATTATGAGGATAAGATGAAAAATATATATATAAAGTATATAATATCCAGCATACAGTAGGTTCTTGATAAATATCACTTACTACTTTTATTACATCACTACAGTCAAACTGAATTGCTAGGTTTTCCCATATAAATTGTACAACTTATTTCCCCCCCTCCTAATTTTGCTCCTACCCTTCCCTCTGCCTAACTTTGACACAACATCTTTGCCTTCTGAAAGCACCTCCTAGACCTAAGGCCCTACTCAGGTGCTGCTTTCTCTGTGAACTTTTCTTTGACCACCAGCCACAGGAGCTCTCTTCTTGCTCCTCTGAATGGTAGGGCTCTGCTTCCAGCACTCTGAGGCATTTATACTGCCTTCTGGTGAGCTGTGTGAATGCTTTATCTCCTACAAATCAGGGCAGGCCCATGTCTTCCTCATGTTTAATTTCCTCTACACTGTCCAGCACAGGATCTGGCACAAAGTTGAAACTCAGGAAACTTTAATGGAAAGATTGAGTGGACGACATTTCCTGTTTCTCATCAATAAAGTTTCATCTTCACACTCATCTGTTAAATATTTATTCTCTTTTTAATACATCTTATTAAGCCTAGGATTAATCAATATGGTTCCTGCTCTCTCAAAGCTTACAGCTAGTTCAGATTATGCTTTCAGAAACTAGAATGAAAACAAGTCAGGGCAATATTTAACAATGTGTTTAATCAACTATAATCAAATTTCATAATGTATAATCTAGACAGACAGTTATTCCCGGGTGGTCAAGCTAGGGAGGAGTCTGTAGGAATTAGAAGGTGAGATGGGGAGGGGCGGAGGCAGAAATCTTCACCAGAAGGTGGAGCAGACAGTTGAATTCAGTTCAGGAAAGTAGGAGGAAAAATAATTTTACAGAAGAGTAATCATACCTGCTTTCATGGAGGTGGGGGGAAAGAGGGAAGGAGTGTAAACTAAGAGGAGCGTGTCATCTACTTACTTAATGACTCTTTGTCTTGGAGTACTGGTGGAGGACAATGGACACCAGCTACATTGTTCACAAGTGGTAATTATCATGACTACAAACACCAGGGATTAATATTTACCTATCGAAAACCAGATGAGTAATGGGTGTCTCCCAAGCCTGTAACTGAAAGCACCCTCTACACTCTAAGTCCCCACTCAGGTGCTGCTTTCTCTATTATACAACTGCTATTCCTGGAGAATCAATGTTGATTAACGATGTTTCTGGCCAGGCATGGTGGCTCCCGCCTGTAATCCCAGCACTTTGGGAGGCCGAGGCGGGCAGATCACCTGAGGCCAGGAGTTCGAGATCAGCCTGGCCAAATGGCGAAACCCTGTCTCTACTAAAAATACAAAAAAAAAAACACCAAAAACAAAAACAAAAAAAAACTAGCCAAGCCTGATGGTGGGCTCCTGTAATCCCAGATACTCGGGAGGCTGAGGCATGAGAATCACTTGAACCCAGGAGGCGGAGGTTGCAGTGAGCCGAGATCGTGCCACTGCACTCCAGACTGGGTGATGGAATGAGACTCTGTCTTTTTCTTTTCTTCTTTTTTTTTTTTTTGAGACGGAGTCTCGCTCTGTAGCCCAGTCTGGAGTGCAGTGGTACGATCTCGGCTCACTGCAAGTTCCGCCTCCCGGGTTCATGCCATTCTCCTGCCTCAGCCTCCCGAGTAGCTGCGACTACAGACGCCCACCACCATGCCTGGCTAATTTTTTTTTTTTTTTTTGTATTTTTAGCAGAGACGGGGTTTCACCATTTTAGCCAGGATGGTCTCCATTTCCTGACCTCGTGATCCGCCCGCCTCGGCCCCGCAAAGTGCTGGGATTATAGGTGTGAGCCACCACGCCCAGCCCCTATTTATTTATTTTTTGAGACAGAGTCTCACCCTGTCTCCCAGGATGGTCTCGATCTCCTGACCTCGCGATCCGCCCGCCTCGGCCTCCCAAAGTGCTGGGATTACAGGCGTGAGCCACCGCGCCCGGCCTGAGACTCTGTCTGAACAATAAACAAACGTTTCTGAGTTTTGCTTTTTCTATTTTGAAGCTCCCAATTGCTGTTCAGGTTAATAAGATCACAGCTCTATGCTTCACCTAAGAGAAGAGGGTTTAGCAGGAAGTCCGACTTGCCTCTCAGTCACAGATGGTTGTAAGGCATGAGCTGATTGTTAAGTTGAGGTATAATTTAAAGAATCCTAGAAAGAAACGCGCATGTCTGAAAATACACCCTTCTATCTCCTGAAGTTGTATCCAGTTCCCTTCTTTACAAATGCAAGCATTCCTGAAGAAGGCCACAGAAAAGTCTCTAATCATCTGGCTTGAATGTGATTAGCATCCTTTAGGAGGAGGAGAGAAGGCAAGAAACGAGAGGGATGAGGACAGGTCCCTGAGCAGGAAAGGTGAGGGACAAAATAACCCGCACCCTGTCAGGTCTAAAGACGCCTTCGGTCCCTCGCCTGCAGACCCGGGTCCGATTCCTCTGCTCCTGCAGGGGCCTGCAGTACGGGGGAAGCCAGCTTGGTGGAGTCCGCAGGCGCCCCCCTTGGAGGTGCAGCACTGGCCTCGCAGTTCCCAGGCGGGAGAGCGCGGGAGGGCGGCCGGCGGGCTCGGGTCCTCGGTGGCTGGGGATGCAGCCATGTAAGGCCTTACGAAACGTGCAGAGCCGGCCCCGGCGCCGGCAGTACGGCCGCGGGGGGACGGACACCCACGCGGGAGACCGCCCCAAGCCCTGCCCGCCGCGGACTGCGGAGGCTTCCGCACAGGCGGGCAAACCGCGCTGCGTCCGCCCCGCCCCGGCCCGCCCTGCGCCGCGGGGCTCAGGGCCCACGACGCTTACTCAGGTGGAGTTTCCAGTTGAGCTCGGCTCGAGGGTTTAAATGGATGACGTGTTCCATCCGAAGTCGGAGTTCATGTGATCTTACTTCTGTGTCTAACCCGGTTCTCACCTCTATCCCTAAATTACTCTCTTCGGCTCCCACCCCTGAGCTCCCTCGCCTGACAGTGATCGGCACTCGTGCTGCCATCTGCAGGTGAAAGGGGAAATTGAGCGAACTCAAGTTGGGCGACCCACGCCTGGAGGAGGGCTTTCAGGACAGGGTAGCGGATATTCCAGATTACTGGAAATCCTGGAATTACTAAGATTTAGATATATTAAGCCCAAAGAGCACAACAATTGGCAAGAGACTTGATCTAGCCTCCACATCCTCTGGAAGTTTTCCTTTGGTTTGTTTTTCCATTATGCGGATTTGGCAGGGGATGAATGATAAATATTTGCACGAATGCAATTTAGGGCCGTAAAACAGATGTTCGCCACCGAGGCTTGTAATCGATGCACATCGGGCAGAGCTGGTTTTTTACCAGCGCCACCTCCATGATGTTACTGTGATTTCCATCATGGGAGGCTCTGCCCTGCCTGTATTGCTCAGAAAGGGCCGTGTGCCATAACCAGTGGTCATATACGGGTCATTCTTAGCCTGGCGGGTTACCCATTACAGTGTTCTCTGTGCCATAGGAAGTCTTTTTTCAGGCATTCCAATGCTATGATTTTGAAAATGAATGATTATTTTAAAAATCATTTTAGAGTAATTCCATTAGCATTATGGTTAAAGCGCCTTGGTGACCTTAAGAAAGTTACTTTTTCTCTCTGTGACTTAGTTTCCTCACATACTGATGGGAATAATACACAGGCCACATAGGACTGTGCATTTTAAATGAGATGATACACACAAGCACAGGAATATAACATAAAAGAGGATGTGCTCTAAGCTCAAAATGGCCAAGAAAAAAAAAAAAAAGGTGCTCTAAGCTCTAAACATCCAGTGTCAAAAAGTCAGGCTTTGACACTAGCTAGTTTGGGAATATGGGACAAATTACTTCACTTTTCTGTGCCTCAGTTTTCTCACCTGTAATATGCAGATGATGAGAGTATCTGTCTCACAGGTTATTTATGAGAATTAAATGAGATAAAATGTCTTCCATGCTTAGACACAGTAAGGATTCAATAAATGCTAGTCTTCTAAACCTTAGCTAGTCTTTACTATTTTCCAGCATTCTGTTGTTTGGAAGATTCTGGGTTTTAAACTCGCAGGTAAACAATCTTCATCTGTTTGTTCACTGTTTTACTTTTGTATTTAGTACAATCATATGTAATCCTTCTACCATCCTGGGAGGTAGGTGTCCTCATCCCCAGTTCACAGATGAAGAAGCTGAGGCTCATCGTAGTTTAGTGCCATGCCTAATATCATCATACAGCACGTGGAACCAGGGCACATACTGTCCAAGACTGGGGCTCTTTTTCCTGTATCACAGCTGCCTTTATACTTCCTCTAAATGTGATGAGCACCCATTTTATTTTACAAGCCTTTGCTAGATGCCCATGCAGTGTTTGAAATTTTTCAAGTTATGGCAACTTCCTAAAATAAGACTTGAAAATTTCAAGAAACTAAAAGAAATATACTTAGAGCCTTTTCTTCATGGCAAACCTTTTCTTCATGACTTATTAATGGCTTATTAGGTGTTGCTTTCAGAAGGAAGGGTGGAGGGGGCAGCAGGAGGGGCTGCTGGAAGTACCAGTGGCTCAGAAGTGACAAGTGTGTTAAGTTCATGCATCTCCCTCCTTCCTAGCAGGGAATGTTCCTCCTTTTGAAATGTTCCTCCCCTGTAGTGAAATTGCTTATTTTCATCCTCTTTCTTCCCTGACAGACTGTGATCTCTATGAAGCTCAAGACTGTGTCTAACATGTCAGTTCTCTAAAAGTTCTTTCAATTTTCTTTCTTTAAGAAATGCAGAGAAGAAACACTCTTCACTTCAGGAGTCAGGAAACAAGATGACTTACCAAAAAAAAAAAAAACACTTAATAACAGATCCACACCAATCTGTAGATCAAGAGATTAGGGATAAATTTCATAATTTTGCCCAAATATCCAAGTGAAGATCCTTCTTTGATGATTAGTAATATTAATAATAATAACAACTAGCACTTATCAAATGCCAACCATGATCAGGCCCTATGCTAAGCATGTTAGATGTATTGGCACATTCGAGTCCTGCAGTAACTCCATATACTAGGTACGCTAGTCATTCTCATTCTACTGATCAAGAAGCAGGCTAAGAGAGAGCTTGGGCTCATCAGCATCCCCCAGCTAGTAAGTAATGTAGCAGATCTGGACTTGAACCCAGGCCTGTCTAACACTGAGAGAGAAGGCTCTAACCACTGCCCTGTGCTGCCTGCCAATGAGTGGCAGAATGCAGCAGGAGTGGCAGCTAGCTCAGGGGAGGTGCCCGATGTGGAACAATGGATGGGATGAGTGTGTGCATGCTTCCTATATGAACCAGCTTGATTCCTTCTCTTTTGTTTATTTTCCACTTCATCGACTGGGTTTGTACCACAGCCATCTTCTTTCGCTATGTCTGGCATCCCTGTCCCTGACCCAAGCCCAGAGTGATCTCTCCCCTAGTCCCTGACACCAGGGCAAGGGGAAATATCCAGTGTCAGAGATCAGCAAAACCCTCCATGTGACCACCAGACAGATTGGCACTCATCTTCCCAGCAAACTGCATCCACGCCTCCGATGAGTGGTTTCAATGGTGGTCAGCTAGGCCAAGATCACGTCTCTCCCTCAGTAAGTCCCAGATGCCCAGGTCACAGGGAACAACTGCCTGTTGCATGCTCCTGTCCCCAAAGGCCAAATCTTTCCACTCAGTTTATGCAGTCCTGAAGCCTCCCGCCCTCTTCCCATGTCCCCATTTGCCCCTACCCATCAAACCTCCCAGGGCCAGATCCTTTTACAACTGACTGGCACAGCCAATTCACTTCTGGGATTTGATTTCCAAATACTCAACAGCCCCAGTAATTTCAGCAATAATTGCACAGGCAGGCCCAGACCATTCACAGCTGCTGCGTCCAAGATTTTTTTAAAAGGCTTTTAGGGATTTTTTTAAGAATTCCAAACTCGTTTTCTGTTACATTTAGTTCCAAATAATTAGTAAGCCCCATGGCAGACCCTAGAAACCACCAATCATGTGCTGAACACCTGCAGGAGAGAGAGTGGAACACAGAATGCCTTTATGCCAATGTGGCACTTAAGGAAAAGTAACTATGACTAGAAAAGGTGGAGGAGTGGGTTGAGATTCTGAAGTGGGATTCAAAGCAACTTCAGAGGCCATAGAGAAAGAACTCAACTCCCAGATGCAGAGGAACCATCAGAAGAGCTTGTTGAAATGCAGATTCTGGGGCCGGGTGCAGTGGCTCATGCCTGTAATCCTATCACTTTGGGAGGCCAAGGCGAGCGGATTGCCTGAGCTCAGGAGTTCAACACTAGCCTGGGCAACATGTTGAAACCCCATCTCTACTACAACACAAAAAATTAGCCAGGCATGGCAGTGTGCACCTGTAGTCCCAGCTACTTGGTAGGCTGAGGCAGGAGAATCGCTTGACCCCAAGAGGCGGAGGTTGCAGTGAGCCGAGACGCGCCACTGCACTCTAGCCTGGACGACAGAGCAAGACTCCATAAAAAAAGAAAGAAAGAGAGAAAGAGAGAAAGAAAGAGAGAAAGAAAGAGAAAGAAAGAAAGAAAGAGAAAGAAAGAAAGAAAGAAAGAAAGAAAGAGAAAGAAAGAAAGAAAGAAAGAGAAAGAAAGAAAGAAAGAAAGAAAGAAGAAGAAGAAGAAGAAGAAGAATGAAAGAAAGAATCCCAGCACTTTGGGAGCCGAGACGGGTGGATATGGAGGTCAGGAAGATCAAACCACCTGGCTAACACGGTGAAACCCCGTCCTACCTAAAAAACACACAGAATAGCCGGGCGAGGTGAGGGCGTCTGTGGTCCAGCCTCCGGGAGGCTTGAGGCGAGGAGAATGGGTAACCTGGGAGCGGAGCTTCAGTGACGAGATCCGGCCACTGCAACTCCCAAGCCCTGTGAAGCAGAGCGACTCCGTCTTCAAAAAAAAAAAAAAAAAAGAAGAAGAAAGGAAGAGAAAGAAAATTAATTAACGTTAATTAATGTGTGACTGACTTATAGCTCATATTCTTCCTAAAGATAAAGTTTTTAAAACAACATCATTGAGGTATAATTGATATACAATAAAATACACCCATTTAAAGTGTGTGATTTGATAAGTTTTCACATATGAATATGCCTGATAAACTAGCCCCACAATCAAGATAATAAACATATCCATCACCCCAAAAGTTTTCTCATGGCCTTCTATTATCCCTCCCCCTGCAACCCACACCCCATCACACCTAGGCAACCACTGATCTAATTTCTAGCACTATAAATTATGTTAGATTTTATAGAATTTTATATAAATGGAAGCTTACAATATGTACTGTTTTTTGTCTGGCTTCTTTACTCACCTTAATCATTTTGAGATTCATCCATGTTGCTGCATGTGTCAATAGTTCATTCTTTTCATTGCTAAGTAGTATTCCACCGCACACATTTGGGTCGTCTCCAGTTTTTTTTTTTTTTTTTTTTTCTTTTTTTTGAGACGGGAGTCTCGCTCTGTCGCCCAGGCTGGAGTGCTGTGGCGCGATCTCTGTTCACTGCAAGCTCCGCCTCCTGGGTTCACGCTGTTCTCCCGCCTCAGCCTCCCGAGTAGCTGGGACTACAGGTGCCCGCCACCACACCTGGCTAATTTTTTTGTATTTTTAGTAGAAATGGGGTTTCACCATGTTAGCCAGGATGGTCTCAATCTCCTGAACTGGTGATCCACCCGCCTCGGCCTCCTAA